GAACACATACCGGTGTTCGCTCACCTCTCGATCCTGTCACGGCTCTCTGCCGTGACAGGGGGAGGGGCTGGATTCCCACCTCCCCGCTCCGATCCGCCAGCTGACTGGCGGAACGGACGGGGGAGGGGGCGGGTACAGCTGGCTCTGCCTCTAGATAGTCAGAGCCAGCTGTCAGTCACGCAGCTGGGCGGATCCCAGTACAATTGTCAGGATCCGCTTCAGCTGAGGCGTCTCAGTATACCGCGAGCAGCTGCTCGCTGTATACTGCGGCGTCTCAGTATACAGCGAGCTACAGCTCGCTGTATACTGAGCCTAGGGTGACGGGAGGACGCTAGTTTGTGTCCTCCCGTTACCCTAAGGAGAACTATGGGGAAAAGACTAAACCCCATAGGTCTCCTTTAAAGAAGAACTTCATTCAAATTGGGAACTACTTTGCAATCAATAAACACTTATGTAAAGAGTAATGCTCAACATAGCATATCGCATGCATTGTTAGGACTGTATAACGTTCTACAACTGTGTAGAGAGTGCAGTGCTTGGGACTATCGAGCATATAGAGTATAGAAGTCAGGACTATGTAACATACTACATAGCATACGGAGTGAGTGATCAGGACTATGTAATGTACAACATAGGGGATAGAGTGCAGTGGTCAGCACCATATAACATACAACATAGCTTATAGGGAGCAGGGGTCATGACTATTTAATGTGCAAAGAACATAGGTCACATCAACATAGAATGAAATGTGCAGTAATCAGTACTATAAAACATACAACACAGGGCAGCAGTCAGAACCATATGTAGAGTATGCTGATGCTCAGTGCTTTGTGTGCTTAGAATGCACCCTTCCATTAATGGTCAGTGCTCAGCATATGCCTTTACGCCCCATTTTTTCCAGGACGAGTACAAGTACTGTTACTTTTCCTTAAGTACTTGCTGATACCATTTACTGATACCTTTTTTTATGTGTCATGTGACAGTTTTTCTAAAACAATACAGATTAGTGATTTTAGGACAGTTGTGAATTGCCACGGCCTGGTCCCAATGCTGCACCCCTGCCACGGAATCCAAGCTGTAGAGGGACTACAAATCTCACCAATACATTATACAACAATGCAGAATACCACTAGCTGTAGAGGACTACAAATCCCAGCAATCTATGGTGGGTTGTGCAGACTCTCAGGTGGGCTATGTGGGGTCTATGGTGGGCTGTTCGGGCTCCCAGGTGGGCTATGCGAGGTCTATAAATGGCTGTGTGGACTCTCAGATTGGCTATGTGAGGTCTATGGTGGGCTGCTCGTGTTCTCAGACGAATATGCAGGTTCTATGGGGGGCTGTGTGGACTGTGGGTGGGCTATGCGGGGTCTATGGTGGGCTGTGCATGCTCTCAGGTGGGCTATGTGGGATCTATGGTGGGCTGTGTGGACTCGCAGGTGGGCTGTGCAGCGTCCATGGTGAGCTGTGTGGACTCGTAGGTGGCTGAGCAGGTTCCATGGTGGGCTGTGCAGGTTCTATGGTGGGCTGTGTAGACTCGCATGTGGGCTATGCGGGATCTATGGTGGGCTGTGCGGACTCTCAGGTGGCTGTGCAGGTTCTATGGGGGGGCTGCACAGACTCTCAGGTGAGCTATGCGGGTCCTATGGTTGGTTGTGTGAACTCTCAGGTGGCTGTGCAGGTTCTATGGTGGGCTGTGCGGTCCCTTAGGTGTGCTGTGCAGGTTCTATGGTAGGCTGTTGGGGCTCTTAGGTGGGCATTGCAGGCTCTATATTGGGCTATGTCGACTCTGGGTTGGGCTGTTCAGGTTCTATAGTGGGCTGTGCAGACTCTCACGTGGCTGTGCAGGCTCTATGGGGGGCTGTGTGGACTCTCAGGTGGGCTATATGGGATCTATGGTGGGCTGTGCGGGCTCTTAGGTGGGCATTGCAGGTTCTATATTGGGCTATGCAAACTCTGGGTTGGGCTGTTCAGGTTCTATAGTGGGCTGTGCAGACTCTCACGTGGCTGTGCAGGCTCTATGGGGGGCTGTGTGGACTCTCAGGTGGGCTATATGGGATCTATGGTGGGCTGTGCGGACTCTCAGGTGAGCTGTGCATGGTCTATGGTGGGCTGTGGGGACTCTCAGCTGGCTGTGCAGGTTCTATGGTGGGCTGTGCGGACTCTCAGTTGGGCTGTACAGACTCTCAGGTGGGCTGTGCGGGGTCTACCGTGGGCTGTGCTGGGTCTGTGGTGGCTGAGCAAGTTCTATGGATTTGCTGTGTGGATTCGCAAGTGGGCTGTGCAGGTTCTATGATGGGCTGTGCGGGCTCTCAAGTGGGCTGTGCAGGTCCTATGATGGTCTGTGCGGACTTTCAGGTGGGCTATGCGTGGTGTATGGTGGGCTGTGCAGGGTGTATGGTGGGCTGTGCAGGGTTAATGGGGGGCTGTGCTGTTCTATGCCGGGCTATGCGGCTCTCAGGTGGCTGTGCAGGTTCTATGCTGGGCTGTGCAGTCTCACGCAGGCTCCGTGTCCAACTTGGCGGGTGCAGGCGGTGTGGAGGAAAAAAAAAGACAGGTGATATTGTTAACGAACACTAATTGAAATCCTCAATGGTCTGTGCATGATGGGGCAGTTGTACGAAAATCTTACGACGGTTCGATCATTGTACAAAAAATGTTGTGCCATGGTTGTAAGGTGTATGGCCACCTTTAAAGAAATTCTGTCTCCCTGAATCCAATAATGATCTGCGCTTTAGGATAACGAAACTCCCCGTGTGGGCTGTGCTAAAAAGGTGTTAACCCTTAAAGTACGTATCATTTGTATGCACTGCACATCAATCACCTATAACATCAAGTGAATAAATGCAATGAATATCATGATAACAAAATAATTGTACGCAAATTAAAAATATATAGAAACATCCAAAACAAAAAAGTGTCTATTCAAAATCCAAGTGACAAAACACTCTTTAAATCCCGTTTCCTTATCACTCCCATAATTATACAGAATTCTGATATTCCATCTTGTGTAAATCATGTACAGATCCACACTCACCAGAAAGTAGGACCACTTTTTCAGGACGCTCAGAACAGCATGTGTGGTAATATCCTGCGATATTCCTCTGTCGTCCGCTCCACATTCAAAAGTACATTCAAAAGGAAATTAAATAATTACACAAGGTGGGGGGATCAGTAAGGGAACGGATGTGTGGACGAAGGGGGCAGGGGAGTAGAATACCTCTATATGTCCCAATCAGAGCCAAACATTAAACTGGAATGGGAGTCCCAGTTCTATCTCTGGTCTCAGACACCTCCAACCCGTGTCAGTGTTCTACAAGATGTAAGGAGTTCATTCCCACATGCAAACACAGGTGTACAGGAATATACTGGAACATGTGCCTGTATTTGCAGCACCCCGGAATTGCCACATGCATGCACATGGGTGTAAGTTCCCGAAAGTTTTTTGCATCTGGGAACTTTCACCCTACCCATGTCACCGTTCTACAAGCTGCATAAAAACCGGTACTTGCGCATACATGCACACCCGCTTACAACGCATTGGTTCCATACAAGCTTATGGACACACAGTATAGCTGGGGCTTCAAATACAGGTGTATTTTCTGCAGTATGCCTATATATATTTTTGTCTGTGGGAATGAGCCCTCCAGGAAATGTAAAAATTAACCCTTGCAGTGAGTCTATGGTGGGCTGTGCTGGCCCTCGGGTGGCTATGGTGGGCTGTGCTAACCCTTTATTAGGAGCTAAAATAAAGAAGATATCTCACCTGAACCTCAGTCCTGCGGCGGTGACTACTCACCTCTCTCCCCCTCTGCTCTGGCAGGGAATGTCCCTTGGCATGTCTAATGCAGCTGCATTAGATGTGATGACCTCAAGGGTCCCTAAACTGCCGGAGCCTGGGAGAGAAGAGGCTGTGGGGACTGGTCTAGCAGCTAAACCGGGCCAAGGATCAGGTGAGTAAATCGTCTTTATTTTGGCCCCCTGATCAAAACAAGCACTTAACCATTGCAGTGCAGGGGTAACCTAAATTATTTTAACATTTCCTGGAGAGCTCACTCCCATGGACATCAATACACATAGGCATACTGCAGAAAATACTCCAATATTTGGAGCCCCAGTTGTACTGTTCTTTAAGATGGTGCAAAACATATCCAAATTAAGAAGGGGAACTTTATGTAGCATGGTCCTGTTCGTCACCATTCAACTGGGCAGAGATATGATGCCCTTATATTCTGGAGTGTGTTTATAATGCAGCCAACAGGACCCCAATAGTGCGTAGGTTTCCTCTGGGTACTCCAGTTTCCGCCCACATGCTGGAAGGTTAGTTGGCTCCTGTCTAAATTGACCCTGTATGTATGTGAGATGGGGGACGTTAGATTGTAAGCAGGGACTGATGTGAATGTACAACTATGTAAAGCAATGTGTGAATTGTCGCCGCTATATAAATACCTGTAATAAATAAAAAATCAAATATTTCATTATTCTGTCTTTGAGCAATATGAATAAAGCTCACCACACCTTACAATCTGATTGTACAATCTTGCAGATCTACCAGGTCTGTAGTACATAGACTTGCCTAACCATATAGTAATACATTGTTTCGATTAGGTCGGTCTTTATATTACATCATCGTAATAAATATAAAGTTATTGTGCAAAGACTGTACAGTCAGAACATTTCCTTTCCTTTAGACAATCGTGAGATTGCATATTTCAGTGTAGGTGTGCGAATTGTTCGCCAATGGACTGGGTTTACCTGCAATTGTTCAGGTTGGTGACAGGGTCTCTTTACACATGATCAGGGGGGGGGGTGCTGAAGCTCTGTTTGTTTCTAATGATTTGAATGAACAGCTGAGAATGAGACTTGATGGAAGCAGTGAGATGACATATGTATTGGAACATGTGATTAGGTGATCAGGGTGAGGGGTGAGGAATGATTGTATAGTGGGCACGCCTCGTAGGCAGAGTTGCAGGGCATGACAGCAGTGTGGGAGTTCCCAGTCCATGCAGCCTCATCCAGCACATAAGGAGTGTCCTGCACACAACTCCAGCAAGTGCACACACAGCAGGATCGCAACTGCACAACACTGATCAGGTAAGGGGCATACTAACCCCGAGCAATTGTAATTCAGAGGATGATCGCAGATCTCCTGTCACACTGAGCAGAGTCTTCAGGAGATATCCCATATAGATCAAACCTGCTTGTCTACGAGCTTCTCAGCTGTCAGTGTGCTGCACCAGGAGGGAGGGGGACCATTGCTTGTCATGGGGAAGGATCTGGTATGGGGCTATCTAGTTCAGGTGTAGCCTGCTAGGATCCAATATGTCTTAGAAGTCTGGGAGATGTAGTAGATGATCAAGGTTAGTGGGTTAGACATATTCCTCAGGAAATGGACTGTACATGTTGAAAGATGAGCAGAATAGATTAAAGCAGTCATTCTCAACTTCATTGGAACCATAGGGTTCCTCCTGAGGTTGCTAGGGGTTCATTGAGTAATGGTGAATTTATCTTGTACCTACACTGACCACCAAGGCAGGGGGGGGCACTTCTACACTGACCACCAAGGCAGGGGGGGCACTTCTACACTGACCACCAAGGCAGGGGGGGCACTTCTACACTGACCACTAAGGCAAGAGGGCGCTTCTACACTGACCACCAGTTCGAGGGAGGGCACTTCTACACTGACTGACTACTATTGTTAGGGGACACCGCAGTTGCCTTTTATCTGTTGATTTCAGGATTGTTATTAAAGATGTTGTTGTAAAGAGAAGGGTGTAAAAAATGACATGCTCTGGATGTCAGATATGCTGGGTATGCCATATTATTTATTCCCATGCCTAAAACATTCTACAATCCTGGTTATCGCACTAACTGCGGGTAAATGTATTTATAGCTGGGGTCCCCGGAGACCCAAAATATATTTCAAGGGTTCCTCCAGGGTAAAAAGGTTGAGTCTGGTTTAAAGTGTTTGCAAACTTGTTTTTTATTTTGCAGGAAGAGAGGGTTTAAACCAGTCAGTTTATTGCTTTATCATTCTGTGTCCCATTGGAAAGATTTCTCCTCATTTCCGCTCCTGGAGACACAACCGGAAGTGAAAGGAAATCTTTACAAAGTGAAAGGAATTCCCATTCTAGAGGGCTGTCAGAACAAGAGAGGAGTAATCTCTCTTGGTCTGGTGACCAACAACAATAATTTTCTGTCTCGGCGACAATGGTCACCAGGCCAAAAAGAGAGGATAAATCTTCCAAATGGGGAGACAGATGTCAATAAAGATCCCTGCAATATTCTAACCTAAAGAAATTTTAATATATAAAACTTTAAGGCTAGGTCCATACCTGCACGACACCTGGGACGCGCGTGCCTGGATTTCAGTGGGGTGACACCTGTGCGGCAATCGCTAAAAAAAGGTACAAGTAAGCTGATGTTTTTTTGCGACACATGATGTGCTGCTTTTTTAGCGTGTTCACATGCATGGGCGGAATCGCGGCGGGAAACCATGCGATCCACCTGGCGCGACTGGGGTGCCATTAGAAAATGATGGCACCCACATCGCGATCGGTTCACACCTTGTCGACTCCCAACCGTGCGGCAATTGTGCACAAAGTCCGCGCGGTCAGGATTCGCCAAGGTGTAAGCCTAGCCTAAGGCTTCATTCACACATGCGTTTTAATGCAGAGATCTGTCTGCAAAATCTGTAAGCCTAGATGCTTTGTTTATGCTTCTAGATTCTTAAAATAATGCACATTTATGCGCGTTTACACGCATATGTGTTTAGATGCATCTGTCCTTTATCCATTAAAACAGTCCATTAGAGTACCCAATGAGATTTCAGCAAATAAATGCATTGTGTTTACATATATTTACATGTGTTTTGGTGCATCAATTGATTCCTGGAAGCACCAGACTTCTATTTTTTCTAATCACAACTAAACTGACTGCAGATAAAAAGTATCTAAATGCAATGTGTGAATAGAGCCATAGGAAATCATTAGATGCATATATCTACATTTAGAAAACCATTTTAAATGCATCTAATCGCACCTAGTGTGAATGTAGTCTAACGTTTTGAATATATAACTAAAACTGCATAGGGACCTGAGAACTGCTTCGTGCCCCTTTCCTATTTCATTGGGGTAACTCATATTCAGTCTTTAAAGTGCACCTGTCTACCATGTATTGCTTTCCAAAGACCAAAGCTATTTTAGCCAGTCGAGGAATTGGGTAACCAGTAATGTCTTGGGCATGTCTGATAAGCTCTTCTGTCATTTAGTGGCTTTCTATTATTATCTGTTCTCTTTGCTTCCTTTATTTTTGACAATCCTGGTGGTTAGAAGTAACCATATGTGTCACTTGTACATCATCTAAACTTCCTTTGGGTATTGTGGAATGTGTAAGCAATTTCAATGAAGCATGATTGTCATGATGTGCGGTGCAGGTCTGGATGACCCTGAATACATGGCATGTTCCACCCGCAAGCTTGTCATTCTATCAGTTCCTCTTTCCAATGCTAATCTCAACCTTCAGCTGTAGATAAGAAAATAAAAAATTCTAAATATTGACAATAATCCTCCTGGTATGTTTTGGAGGGAAGAGCATCGTACTCGGGCAATCTGAGCTGGAATGTTGTGAATTCTCTATTGCTGGTTTCTTTTGTTTTTTTATGTTGCTTAGAAAGTTAAAGAAAAAACAAAACGTTTTGACTTCATAGCTTATTTTATGTATAATATTAATGTGGTTATAGATAGTGTTTATTTATCCAATCATGTTTCATTCTCCATATGATTTGCAAGTACTGCCCAGTGGTGGATTGTTCATCCACTACAAGTCATGCTCACTAAAAAGAATTAAGGATGGTTAATATTTCTGACTGTAAGGCTGGCCATACACTGATCTATTTTTTTTTTTTTGTTCAACCCGCGGGCTGAACAAAAAAAATAGACCAGAATCCTCCATCAACATAAACGATGTGTTCATGGAGGAATCGTGCTGTTTACATTGTATTCTGACTCATTGGCTGGCGCTGCTGATCGATCGAGGATTTTCCAGCAGGCTCCTTTTGATCAGCTGAATGCCAATTGAACAATTGAAAGGTTGCTGACAGTGGCACACACTCTGTGAATTTCATCCAGTTCCTCAAGAACTGGCCGAAAATTGAACTGTGTATGGGCACCTTTTACCTTTCGATGGTGTTTAACTTGAATAACCCGAACATCTGCATACCAGAAGGTAGTAAAAAGATTTCCCTTGCTTAAAGCTGAACTCTGGGATAAGCAAATACAGTGGTACCTTGGTTCACAAACTTAATTCGTTCAGCGATTCGGGTCGTGAACCGATTTGGTCGTGAACCGATTCAAACTGTCATCAGACCATGATCTCGACTAGAAGAAGCCATTAACATGTGTCGGAGCGGGAAAATGGCTGCGGTCGTGTTTGTGACCCGAAGCAAAGTTCGCGAACGGAAGCAACATTTTGCTGAAGTTCCTGTTCGCGAACCAAATTGTTTGTGAACCGAGGTACCACTGTATTGTCTAAATATAAGAGGCATGTGTATTTTTACTGGAATGTGGTGTGGTTTGTGTATTTCTTCCCGCTCTTTTACAGTGATGCAGTGAGAAAATGTGCCTTTTGCAGAAGCTTCCTGTAATAAAGGCCAGTCACTGTTGCTCACTCTTTTTGTGCAGGGTGACTGGTCTTGTCTCCGCCCCCTTCTACAGGCAGCCTGTGATAACTGGGTTTGCAAAGGCATTTGGTGTTTACAAAGTGGATTTATATCCTGTGTGGCCATTGAGGAATATATTTTAATGAAAGCATTTGTGCCTGGAGTTCAGCTTTGTTTGTTTGTTTTGCTGTCCATATATTAGCTGATTATGTCAAAGCATTGTTGGATTAGTCACATTCCATACCTGTATCAATAACAAATTGTTAAAAGCAATACGTCCAGTTGTTTAAGGCCTCTTTCACACAGTCTGATCACAAGGGGATATGTGCATCGAACTCCTGCTGATCAGATTAGATGTTTTTTCATTTATTTTTCCACCTGGTGGGAGGTTTGTACTACACCTCCAGAGGGATTTAGTACTCACAGATTGAGTGATAAACAGTGGTACTTACAATAGCAACAGAGAAAAATCGAATTCATTTTACCTCCTTTATTCAAAGCAGGAGTGTCTAGGGTATAGAAGTACAGAATTGCGGGCTCCGGTAAGGTATTAATACAATAGATAGATGTAAGGTAGCCCATGCTCTGTTGCTGTTGGAAGACCATTGATGGCTTTATAACGCTTTTAATACGATATATATGTTATATATTTATAGAACGATATTGCTGTCTGTGATTAGAAGTTAATAAGTATGGAAAACCAATAAAAACATTGAAACACTAGATGTCACCCCTGTGACATCTGTGTCCGTCCAGTTTACCGGACCCATGTTGGTCTATTGGGAATTTAATGTAAATAGACTTGTGTCCATTTACATCAGATTACCCCTGGTCTGGCATGATCAAGTCCGGCAAAACAGATCTCCAATTATTTGTTCTTCCAGACCATGTAAATGGACACCTGTCCGTTTAGATCTGGCTGCTCATAGACTAACATTGAGCTTCCGATCAGGTCCAACTGAAAATCTGAAAAGTAGACCTGATTGACACTGAACTCAGGGGTTAAATCTTAAAAATGGTACCTCAACTATTAACAAAAATGTATCTTATTTGGGTATCACTTATCTGTAGCTCCTCAAATAATCTCTGAATTCATGCTGACACTGTCCTGGAGGGTGGCTACTTTTGTTCCCCCATGGTCCCTGTGTGTGTTGTAAAGTAGCCACCAATCCAAGTTCACTCCCGTGATGGACTACAATCTCACATTTAGTTTACTAGTTTGTATTGAGATTGTAGTCCATCACAGGAGTGAGCTTGGAGCAGTGGCTACTTTACAACACACACAGGGACCATGGGGAACAAAAGTAGCCACACTCCAGAAGGAAGGACAGTGTCAGCATGAATTCATAGATGATCTGAGGATCTACAGCTGAGTGATACACAAATAAGATACATTTTTGTTAATAGTTAAGGTACTTGAATGCATTTTTAAAA